AGGGATCCACGATCCAAAAGAAGCAAGGACTAGGTAGAAAAAGTAAAAATTCTCTTTTCTTGCTTCTGTTAAATAACCAACTGTGTCGGTTTCTGGCAGAGTAAAGAAGAATATACTCAGATGTATTCATATTCAAATATTTAATCTTAAAGGGAGCATCATCTCTTACCATGCTAAAGAAAATGTGTGGTCATATCAATTAGGGGCTGATTGAAAAAGGACGGGCAGACAATTTCACTGCCGTTAATGAGGCTTCCTGCTCATGTGGTCCAGACTAAATCCCTCAAGCCCCAGCGCAAGGCTGCCTCTTCCCCCCAAATTTCTTTCATGAATCCCTTGAGTCTTTCTCACTGAAAGCTGTTTGTGCGAAGGGCAGACCCTCTCTGTGGCTGGTGGGGTAGGCTTTAAGAGGCATCATTTGCAGACTGAAGCATGAAATGAACAGGCAGACTTGTTGCATCTGGTCAGCCTTGACCGTCTGTCCATGACTATCACTGATTGTCCATTGACTGAAATTATAGCAGCTTTTAAAAACGGCTGGTGCCCAAATCTCCCTTGACTGTACATCTGTAACTACTAATAATGTTGTTTGGGGCAGACTCGGTTGCTTTGAAATTGCACTGCACTGTTAAAAGTAAATGAGCGGCAACCAATTATCTATGAAGTCAAGACACACACAGAGGAGGGGAGTGTGATGAATTGGAGATGATCCTGCTGACACAACACAGTGTGGGAACCTGTCCTGCTTTGACGTCTCATCAAAGCTGGGAGGTGATGTTTACATATCTTCCAGCAGAGATCCCCCAGTTCCGGCAGGGAGGAGGAGATGACAGCATCATTCCGCCCCTGGTACACATGTTGCTGAATTAAAATTAAAAAGGCAGCAAATCCAAGTGTTAAATATCTACAGAGAGAATCATCACACTCCAGAAAGGAGGCAAGGTTAAAGAGATGCAGATCCAACTGTCACACGGCGAAATCCATCCCGGAAATCAGCTCAGTGTGCAGGGAAGCAATGTATAAATTCATCCAGGCAGAGAGGAGGCACTGAATTCCAGGAACCAAAGGAGTTCAGCCTCATCAGTGAGCTGGCTGACAGGCATCGAGACAGCTATAGCGTCACCCCAGCAACCAGTGAACTCCTAAGTTCAGTGGTATAGCAAAAGCAGAGCCTGCTTTTTATGATTGCCCGAGAAATTCTGACCGAGTTGCATTCTGGTTGGACAAAGAGATAAAGGAGGCTAAATCGCCATCTGCCTTGCAGAGGCATAGGGGAGGGGACGGAAAATTCCTCTCATGTTGTTGCCTTGATAACTGCCAAAGGCTAAGCATGCATGTGTAGCTTGGGTTAAATTTTAACTGTGTGGGTCCCAACAGCTCTTGTGTGCTGAGAGTGTGTGCATAGAGAAAACACAAAGTGTGGTTTCTACTTTATAAGACAACTCTACATACAGGGCCGTTCATGGCAGTAACACTCCTTTGTCTACCGATACAGGGTGTCTTCGCTGTAGGTGTTCGCATTCTTCTCTGAAATTCTTTGAAAGTGAACACAGACTCTTAGCAAGCAGAAGCCAGTCTCCTAGGCGAAGTAGCAATTCTGCGTAGACCTAATAGCCTGAGATGCAGCAGGTTTTCTTGTATCCTTGTACAACGAAGTGGCTAAGGGATGAGTTTGATTTTCTTGCATAGTTCTCATCTTCCCCACTGGGAGGGGTAGGTCTGGGGTCATTTTACTCGTGAATTCTGATCATCGCTGTTGATTTCCCAGAGGTGGCAATCATATTAAATGTCTCAGAGATTATTTTGTTACAATATTTCTAAATAGATCAAGTAGGGAGTCGCAAGGTCTCAATCGAGTGATAGCATTTAAGTCAAGGAGCAACTGGCCTTTCTTTCTAGAAGATAGAACGGAGCTCAGTCCTGGTAGTTGTAGGCGAACAACTACAGCGAGCTGGCGTTTCAGAAGCACTGCATCTCCTTTCTATTTATGCTTAGACTTCTAATTAGAAGCAGTGTTCTCTTTGACATTGAGGCCAAGACTACCCAGCTTGAGATACATGTACTGCAATGCAAAAAGCGAATCACAGAAACAGTAAGTGAGCAGTTCCCTACAGGGTCCACAAAGAGAAGAGAAATTTATAGGGCAAGGGAGGGAGGAATGAGCTTAGGCGAACACTGGACCCACCTACTTGGGCACGTGGTCAGATGATAGAGAAACCAGGAAGCAGGGCAGCCTAGTAGAATCAGCACAGCTGAAGAAATCTACAAGTAGAGCAAAGTCAGTTGTGAAACCAACTGGGGCTTGTTTTGGTTCCTACTACCTTGCCCAGGGTGGTAGGGAGCCAGGTGCTGGGGAACAAAGGAATCGAGAGGCAGAGGAGAAAGTCCTTTTTCTGAGGACACTAGAAGGCTACTAAGCGCAGAGGACTACTTGAGGGGTGATATAGGAGCTGGGGAAGGAAATATGAAGTGGCGGGAAAGGTGAGCAGTGTGACAACGAAGAATGACACAGATGTCGTTGTGTTGGCATTGCGAATATTGTCCTTTTTAACCACGGAGCATAGAAAAAAAATTATACGGCCGAGCTTGGGTTTTATAATAGGGTATTTTTCTTTGTATCTTCTCAGAAACAATTGATGATTATAATTCCTCCCGGGTCCCCATCCTATCTCTGGCTATGCCTCTTGAAAAATTTCAAGATTTTGAAGAGCAGCAACAAACCAAATCTTTCAAGTCATCCTGCCCAAGGTGGATATGCTGTTGTCAGTATTATCAGAAAAAGTATGGGAAAGTCACGTTCATCTTAATTTCACATAAGCGAAAGGTATTTTCTTTAAGCCCAGGTAAATCTAAATGTTGCATTAGTACTCTAGAAAACACTATATGCAAGCTTGATATAAAGATAGAATTTGAAAATGGAGGGCCTAGTATCAAATAACTAAAGGGACTAACCTAAGGACCAGATGTACAGAGGGAGTAAATTTAGTCCCTTTGTATTGTACGTAGTGGTGATGCTCTTGATAAATTTTAAGGACCCTTCATCACATTAGGAGCAGTGGCTACCATGTCTTATTCTAGTCTTAATGCCCACACCAGGCTGCTGAATAGGTCAGTTATTTAGTCTGTAATCAGAGCCCATTAAAGAAAAATGCAAGTTTTAGTTAATAAAAACAATGAATAGGCCTGGTGCCCAAAAATGTTTGTATCATTGCCTAGGACAGATGTCTTTCTGATAAGATTCGCTAGTTAAATAAATTTGCTCAGAAGGCAGGCAAATTCTGGACTCAAGGCAGAAGCACGTAAGCATCGAGTTAGAAGTCAAAATCTTAATGTATGCAGATAACCTCTTCTGAGGTAGACCCTTACGATTCCACAAAGGCCTCCGCCAAAGCCTAGAGTTTTCTTAACTCTACCTGAAAACACCCATTGTATAGGAAGCTCAGAAAAACAATTTCACTCTAATCAAGTGTGCCTGAAGATGTGGTACCCTCATTTCTACAGGGCATTCCAAAGTGACACACTAGACTTCTGAAGAGGAATTGGACAGAAAACCGTGTTTGGTCATGCCCATAGGCCGGGGTTCATTATCAATCCTATCTCTTCAGACAGAGGAGAATGTGAACGGTGGTAAAGGTTAAAAGCAAACTATGACCGGTGGCTTCTCTGTACTCCATCAGGCAAAGGAACACAGACTTGACGCATGTTTGGCAGAACAAACTGAGCTTTGCAGTGCTTGGCTGCGGTGTCCTGCTTTCACTGAGCTGGAGAGGCACAGAGAATGCCCGTGTCACTTGCAGGGTGGTGCAAGGCTGTCATAATGGCTGAGAGCAACAACATGGCCTCCTGAGGACACCAAGCAACCTGTGCTTCACGACCATGCTGTCACTATCCTTGTGAAATGGCTTGCTTGTAACTGCCTCTATGATGCATCCAAAAATTACAAAGAAAGATATATAAAAAGCGTAAACACTGGTTCCTGAACTTCCTCCCTTAACTCTTGAATAATCCTTCCTTGCATTCAAACTTGCTCATCCAACAAACATTCTCAAATCTCCTGTCTACAGCCTACACTTCACTTTATGTGGGCTGTTCCTGTTAATGCCTTATATTGTCCTATCTCTGGATTCATTCTGTGATGGTGACAAAAACCTGGACACACTTGGAAAGAGTCCTCAGTGTGCTCTTTCTAGTTTGAGACTGTAAGCACTGGCAACATGACACCAGAAGGGACAGCTCTCTGGGTCATTAAGTAATTAAGGTATTTGAAAAGTAAGGCTGGGACTAGAATGGCCAATTAATGCATATATCTTTGAGCTTCCTTGCATTTCATATCAAAGCAGTGTACAGCAGTTTCCTTTTAACCTGCAGGGGACTCTGTTCAAAATCTCCCATTGTGCCCCAAACTAGGGACAGTACACAGTTCTCTATATACTTTATTTTATATATATATATATATATATATATATATATATATATATGATAAAGGTTGATTTAAAAAGTATAGGGAGAAGTCAACAATGGAATAAACCAATTATAACAATGTATAGTCATGAGAGTTATGTGAACAACTGCACAGGCCAGAGCTGTTGGTATCACCCAGGTGGCCCATAAAGGCTCGCCACTCTCCTGGCTGAGCCCATCAGCGCCTGTCGCCTCCCCAACTGTTGACTCATTTGCACACTCAGGAGTGCTCTTTATTAATAAACTACCTCTATCTTAACTAGTCACCATAGGCCCCTGGCCAATTCTTTGTTTCAGGACACAAGAACCTGGAAAGCTGAGGACTTCTTCTCCAGGCCCCTCTCCATTCCTACAGTGGCAAGAGGGGACATAAAATCCCATATGGCTCAAGACTGTCTTTATACAGCTTCTCTGTCCTTTGTAGTCCCCATCAGGGAGACATCGGTGCTGTTACTTTTCTTCATCTTTCCCAGCCGTTATCTTCCCTTCCCTGAGGCCCGTGAGGAGGCCTGGGTGAAGGTGAAAGACTTGGTGTTTACCTGAAAGTAGACACGCAGTGCCTCAGCTTCTGCAGCCATCTCCTCCTCAGATCTCCAGAAGGCTGGGGAGTCCTCTTGTTCTTTGTCATGTTTCTGGAGCTTTGGAGGAAGAGAATAAAATAGGCTCATGAAAGAATCCCTGAGATCTTCTTTAATAGTGTTGGGGAAAGGAGAGAGAGTGAAAATAACTTGCAAATTAGAGGCCTGGAGGTGTATCTTAATTACGCTAATTGCCCAATTTTGAAAATAAAGAGTTTCACGTAAGAATTGACATTTCTTGCTTCTCTAATAAAATCGCAAGATTCGGCTGCACTGGGGTGGCTGCTGCTTCATGCTTGCCTGATGAGCAAGGGCCTGTGACAGACTAAGGCTGCGTAAAACAGGAGGCTGCTAGGGGCAGCATCCTGCTATTCAACACCCCTTCATTTTCTTGCGCTTATCAGCGCCGTTTAATCATTGTCTCTGCCCATGCTCAGTCCTCCCTTCTGGCCTGCAGCCTACCATATCAGTCTCTCTGACTTTAGCTGTCTTTTATGAGCTCCAAGGAGTTGTAAGCATTCGGACCGGAAGAAACTCTGGGGTTAGACACTCAAGTCCCTTCCCTTTGGCTATCAGGCTACTGTAAAGAGTAGACTCGTAACAAAGCAGAATTCCGCAGAAGTCCTGTGCTGGGGAAGGGAGACTGAGGTTCTGGTGCCCTGCAGGGGAGGGGTTAGCCAGACTTCACACGTGCCGACCGTGTCACAGCTGGATATGTCCTGGCTTCTTTCGTGTTCCTAGAAAGCCATAACTCTGTCACAAAGGAAGTAGAGAGAAACTGAGTCTTTCTTTCTGGGTCTGGCTAAACTGCACATGAACCCATTTTCCATGCACAGTTTGTTTTCTACTTTCTTTTAAGAAGTAGCAGGTTTATGCATTGAAGTGGATCTGCGACAACAGAAGCTAGGAGAAAACAGTATAGGAAATTAACAATGTAGTCTTCGTCAATTCAGTTCCTCTGTAGACAATTCTCTATCCATGTACAAACAAGAAACACACACACACACACATATATAAAATACATAGTCACATATATTTATGTATACATATATAGACTTATGAGCAAAGACATGTTTAAAATTGCTGTATAGAGTGAACCATGTGTTGTTCTATCAGAGAGCAGGTTTTTAGTAGCTTTAATCTCTCTCTTGCTCACCTATTGTAATTCAGTTCTGTTACCAATATGCCATTTCTTTAGCTGTGTGTGTGTGAGAGAGAGAGAGACAAACAGACAGACAGACAGACAGACTGCTGACTGACACACACACACACACACACACACACACACACACACAGCGCTAAAGGTCCAATTGCTCATAATATGTACAGTCTAGTGGTCCATGTTCAGGGGCTTAGATAGATGGCTGTGTAGCGCTATCAATGACGGTCAACATTTATGATTTGGAAAGCAGCTCCTTTCATGCTCATATTTTGCACAATCCTTACAGCTTCCCACAAGACACACTACTTAACTCCATTTACTCTGAAGGAAATGGGGGCAGGGGAACTCAGGAAAATTATTTACTTGTCTAGATAGGCAATGCTGGGTGCAAGCATTGTGCCCAACCAGTTTTCTTTGTCTTGGAGAATCCATACAAACGGGCAGTTCCATAGTGACTGCTTTCATTTCACTGCGTATCTACTCACTTGGTACTGGGATGCTTTGAAAAAAACCTTGGGAGTTCAGCAAGGCATGCTGACCAGGTGCCTCAGGTATGAACATGAGAAGCTGCTCACTAGAAACCGTGATAAAATGAAAGGGAGAGAATCACTGTGCACATTTGTCCTGTGGCCTCCACATGCATACTGTGGTATGTAGGCCTAACCCCCACCACACAGACACACATACACATCCATGCACACACTCACACACACACACATACACACACACTACTAATAAATAAAAACTTTTAAACTAAAATAGTAATATCCATTGTCTTGGGCCTCAAACCCTCAGCCTTCTGTAGAGACCCCACCCCAGCATGCTGCAGAACACAGAGACCTTCCACATTTATCTCAGAGCAGCTTTGTTGTGGAAGACAAAATAGTACGGGAAAGACATCCTTGCTTTCCGGCAAGGCTGTATTTCCACACCGAGGAAGTCTGGGTCTAAATGAGGCTCATTAGCATAGAACGAGGCCACAAATATCTTTATGAGGGTCATGGATCTTCCTTTCAGAATTTGGCTGCCAGCACACTGGTTTTCCATTTTGCCATACAGATTTAATTCTTCTTAGTGGAAGGAAAGCACATTAAGAAGTCATTTCCTTGCTGTAGAAGCAGATATGACGCAGTTGCTACAGGCGAGTCGGACGGGATTGCTATTCTACCCGAGAACTAATTTTCATTTTGCTACTACCTTTGGGTCTATTATAAATCCATCTTGTAACAGTTTGATGGGGAAGACATGGAGTGGTGCAAAAGCCGGAGAACGCGGCCTTCCCACCGTGGCGCTGCTGTCGGAAGACATAGCAGGCTTGTCAACACAAACCACACCAGATGATTCCAAATAATTTAGATGTTAGGAACATTAATGCTTCCTGGTTATTAGGAACCCTTCTGTTGGTGTCATATGCTTTACAGATGGCATCACTTAGACATTCTTTACAGGATCTAGGAAACCAATAGATCAAGCTAAATAAGTTTGCAAAGTTCGGTTGGGCATGGCTGTGGATAAACTTTTGAGGTTTCCTCTTACCAGCCCCAGTTGGAAGTTTTTCCTGTTCTTTAAGACATCTGGACCCTGAATTCCTGTTGGACTTTCTAGAGAAACTGTAAAAGACACAGCTTACACCAAGGACTCTGATTAAATATTTAGAGATTTTGAAAAAGAAAAAAAAATCCCAAAACTATTGAAGGAAAGATGTCCGTGTGTGTGTTTGGGTAAGGGCTCTAACAGGAATAGAAGTATAGCTGTCAGCTTGTATCTGTGCCAGCACTTTTCACAGCGTACCAAAATCCACAGTTTTCAAGTCTCAGATACGAAATGTATGGTATTTGCACATAACCTTTATATATCATCTGACATGCTTCCTGTTTGTAAACTGTCTATAAATCTCAATACAACACAAATGATGTGAAAATATTCATTCTGCTTGTGCTCAGTAGAGATGCCCTTGATTTTCTGGTATTTTTTTTTTTTTTTTTTTTTGTCAGTGGTCACTTGAACCCTTAGATGACAAACCAGCCACAGACCCAGAGCTCACTGGGTATCACTGGCTCACTCATCTTCATCTTTACGCCCATTCCTTGGGCCTTTTCATAGGTATCACATCTGCCCTTTGGTAACCCCACTGCAGTGTGGTTTTCTTTCGCTTAGCATACGTCAAAGGGGCTTCTGGGTGGTAAGATTTGTCAAAGTAGCATGACGCTAACTATTCAAGCGGTTTGCAGTCTCTTCAAGAACTGGGAGGCTTCAGACAGACAGGACAGGAAAAATTCTGCTCTAGAAGAGCCATGGTGGAGACTAGGAAATTAAACCTGCAGAAGTCTGTGGAAAAATTCTGAGGTAACCCAAGAATGTGGGTGCAGTAGTCCAATGCATGGTTAACAAAGTAGAGTTCTACCATCTTAAGCAACTGCTTTCCCAAAAGGCCAGTTTGACTTGTGTGAACCTGAATTTGGGGATTTCATTTGTAAACGAACTTCCAGGTGACTTTAGGCTGCGAGAAGAGAGAGGTAATGCCTAATTATCATCACACCCAATAGTCAATCTGTCCCTGAAGTGACAGGAAACAGTATTCTCTCCTGCACTCAAAGGCAAGGAAGACAGACACTGAACAGTTGATTTCCAGTGCTGTGGGATTGCCAAATAGAAGGGAGCTGGGTTAGGTTAGCTTGATACAAGCTTCAGAATCACCTAGATTTCACAAAGAAATGCTGTTATAATAAAAATAGTGATGGTGGCCAGGCAGGGTGACACACACCTTTTACCCCAACCCTTGGATGGATCTCCAGGACAGCAAGGGCTATACTGAAAGACTCTGTCTGAAGAAACAAACAAGAGAAGAAAGATGGGAAAGGGTGTTCCCTATGTAGTAGTCAACAAGGGCTCTCTACAGGTTGATAATTATAGTCTATAAACAATTGACTATTAAAGCTACTATTTATTTTAAAAGCCAAACTATTTATTTAAAAAATATCTTGACTTCAAAATTTAAGTAAAAGGATATGTTACTTTGAGAAAGAGGTTCTGCTTTGATTTCCTTGGGAAATAAAAGGCTGTGGATTCATTCTGGGTTAAGAGAAAACAGATTGATGAAGGAAGAACTTTCTGAAAAATATATGATGGGAACAGGTGGCCAAGATGATCCAACATTTCAGAGCTCATCTGTTGCCATTTCCTCTGAGTTCTACATCCAGAACAGCTTCATGGCTGCTAACAGAATACTTCAGCCAAGACTTAACAATTATCCTGATTTTCCCAGAGTCCCTCAAACATCAACAGCACCCACAAACCAACAGGAAGCAGTCTATAAAACAATAGATACACTCCCAAAATATTGGTTATAAATGTTTGTTTTCATTTGAGGGTGGGATGATTATACTTTGCTATTGGTTATAGTAAATTGCTTTCTAAAAGAAGAAAGAGGAATATGATATAGAAATGATGGAAAAGGGGGTATATTATTGAATCTACATTAATTCAAAAAACAACTGCTAATCTTAAAATATTTAACATATCACGTTATACTGTATATATATATTATACTGTTATTTTGTTATACTGTATGTATATTCCTACTCTTATTTAAAATATTGTGTTTATGTAGTTCAACTAAAAATACAATGTATTATTAAAAATACAGATTAATAGTTATCTACAATAGTCAAACTTATAGTCATATAAGTTAAGTTTTCAAGGTATACAAAGATCTATTTCAGATAGATAGGTAATCTTCAAACACTTCAAAGACCTACAGAATATGGCATTTAAAATGTTTTAATAACTTAAGACTTTTCATGACAGTGAGACATGTTTGCTCCTGACAGTATGAATATACTCCGGAAAAGATGATGGGCATCAAAGAAACTCCACAGCAAGTGTATTTTCTTTATGA